TTAGAGTTGTATTAAACTTATCATGCCATTGCTTAGGTGTTTGCTTCAGGCCATATAAAGATTTCAGCAACCTACACACCTTTCTTTCCAGACCATCTATCACAAAGCCATCTGGCTGTTGCATGTAGATTTCCTCGTTTAGCTCTCCATTCAGAAAAGTCGTCTTAACATCCATCTGGTGGACGAGAAAACCGTGCGAGGCCGCCAACGAGAGTAATACTCGAATGGTGGTCAGTCTAGCCACAAGTGAATAAGTATCAAAGAAATCTTTGACCTTGAATTCTGCTCAACACTCAGATGGCCAATGACATCCTCCACAAAGAATTCACGCCTCTGATGTTTCAGAGTGGCGACAAAGTTTCTCCAGGAATTGGGGAGCTTAGCGATTATGCAGCACACGACAAACTTGCCCGGTAAACTCGCACTTAAGAAGCTCAAGCTCCTTAACAATGCATATTATCTCATGAGCCTGCTCCAATACAGGACGATTTTCAACCATCTTGTAATTATGGAACTGCTCTATAATATACATCTCGCTCCCTGCATCGGCAGCCCCGAACTTAGATTCGATCGTGATACGTCTCCAACGTATCTATAATTTTTGATTGTTCCATGCTATTATATTACCCCTTTTGGATGTTTATGGGCTTTATTTTACACATTTATATCATTTTTGGGACTAACCTACTAACCGGAGGCCCAGCCCATATTGTTGTTTTCTTGCCTGTTTCAGTATTTCGAAGAAAAGGAATATCAAACGGAGTCCAAATGGAATGAAACCTTCGGCAGCGTGATTTTCTGGAAGAATATGATCCTGGAGACTTGGAGTTCACGTCAGAAGATCCTCGAGGAGGCCAGGAGATAGCCCCCCCCCCCCTACTGGGCGCGCCCCCCTGTCTCATGAGCCCCTCGAGCACCTTCCGACCGACTTCTTTCGCCTATATAGTCCCACGTAGCCTAAAAACATCCACGAAGAAGATAGACCGGGAGTTCCGCCGCCGCAAGCCTCTGTAGCCATCAAAAACCTCTCGGGAGCCTGTTCCGGCACCCTGCCGGAGGGGGAACCCATCATCGGTGGCCATCTTCATCATCCCGTCGCTATCCATGACGAGGAGCGAGTAGTTCACCCTCGGGGCTGAGGGTATGTACCAGTAGCTATGTGTTTGATCTTTCTCTCTCTCGTGTTCTCTCTATGGCACGATCTTAATGTATCGCGAGCTTTGCTATTACAGTTGGATCTTATGATGTTTCTCCCCTCTACTCTCTTGTGATGAATTGAGTTTCCCTCTTGAAGTTATCTTATTGGATTGAGTCTTTATTTGAGAACACTTGATGTATGTCTTGTCGTGTTTATCTGTGGTGACAATGGGATATCACGTGCCATTTGATGTATGTTTTGGTGACCAACTTGCGGGTTCCGCCCATGAACCTAAGCATAGGGGTTGGCACATGTTTTCTTGACTCTTCGGTAGAAACTTTGGGGCACTCTTTGAAGTACTTTGTGTTGGTTGGATGAATTTGAGATTGTGTGACGCATATCGTATAATTATGCCCACGGATACTTGAGGTGACAATGGAGTATCTAGGTGACATTAGGGTTTTGGTTGATTTGTGTCTTAAGGTGTTATTCTAGTATGAACTCTATGATGGATCGACCGGAAAGAATAGAAGAATAGCTCTATGTTATTTTACTACGAACTCTTGATTCTTGAATAGATCGATCAAAAAGGATAACTTTGAGGTGGTTTCGTACCCTACCATAATCTTTTTTTTTTGAAAGAAGGACTGTAAGGGAACCCCTTACAGTATAATTGGTGCAACAAACCCAAATTGCAAGTACCATGCCTTGAACCTGGATGGGTGGGAAGGCATCAGCCCCTTCCCACCACTAGGCTATGCCTTAGTCTGCACCCTACCATAATCTCTACGTTTGTTCTCCGCTATTAGTGGCTTTGAAGTGACTCTTTGTTGCATGTTGAGGGACTGTTATATGATCTATCTATGTTATTATTGTTGAGAGAACTTGCACTAGTGAAAGTATGAACCCTATGCCTTGTTTCCTATCATTGCAATACCATTTACGCTCACTTTTATCATTAGTTACCTTGCTGATTTTATATTTTCAGATTACAAAAACCTCTATCTACTATCCATATTGCACTTGTATCACCATCTCTTCGCTGAACTAGTGCACCTATAAAATTTACCATTGTATTGGGTGTGTTGGGGACACAAGAGACTCTTTGTTATTTGGTTGCAGGGTTGTTTGAGAGAGACCATCTTCATCCTACGCCTCCCACGGATTGATAAACCTTAGGTCATCCACTTGAGGGAAATTTGCTACTGTCCTACAAACATGTGCACTTACAGGCCCAACAACGTCTACAAGAAGAAGGTTGTGTAGTAGACATCAGAGCGCCTCCCACAAGTCCTTGGCAGACCGCATATGCAAATATGCGTCAACCAGCTTATCTCCAATCACGCTCAGAACCACCCCGAGGAACACGACAATGGCCTCCTTGAGAGCCTTCTCCTATTTAGGAGCGATCGTTCCTGTGGGAGTCACACTAGCGACCCAGAACACGTTCCTGACCGTGAGCCATAAGGTGGTTTTAGTCTGCCAACGCTTAAAGTATGTCCCCGTAAACGGGGACGGTTTCAGTGCAGCAGCAAAACCAGAATTCGAAAAACTCCGACACACATTAGGTTTTTGGATTGATAAGAAAATAGGCAGTTTTCCGATTAAATTAATCCATGAATAAATCATGAGTATGACATGAACAACATTGATAACACACTGATTACGATCTAATAGAGCATGAACTATGCACATAGTAGAAACATCTACGCATATCGCTAGTACTGCTACAACAGAAAGAAACACGAGAGGGATCAGCGATGTATACCCTCCAATCGGCCACGCGACAGCTGTAACGGTGGTAGCAGCCGCGGCATCCTCGGCGGCCTTCTTGTCGGCCTCGGCCTTCTCAGCAGCGGCACGGTCGGCGTCGGTCGACATTGTGATGACGAAGGTGATGCGGACGTAGATGAATAGAAGCGAGCAGTCGCATAGTCGCTACCCAAAAACCTAATCGCCCCTCTCCCGTATAGGATCCGGAGAGGCGGGGTTTCGGAGGCCTGCTCTCCCGTCAACCGTGTACGCGGTGAACGGGATGGAGTCGCCGGCGGCAGCAGCAGCAAAGGAACGACGTGGGCGTGGAGGCGGAGATGCGTTCTATATTGCGGCGGCTAGGGTTGGCAGCGCCCCACACATATATGTGCGTCCGCGCGTGGAGAGACGTGGGCTGAACCCACATCCAAGTCGGTAGCCCATGATCCGACGTCTCAGATCGTGGCCCTACCTGTCAAAGACTCTCCGTTCCTGACTGGCAAAAAGAAGCGCATAGGAATGAGCGTGGTGAGGCGAGCGGAGGAGGAGGAGTGCGCGAGGGCTTCTTTTCTTCTCAAGGTCCAATAGCATGAGGGAGAGAATCCCTTATAAACCACTCCAACTCTCCTTCCACTAGCATGGTGGGACCAAACTTCCCACCACCTCGTCATGCCACCTACATGGGCCCTTAGAGATTAAATCTGACATTGTCATATGGGCTCTAGGCCCATCTCATATTTCAACAATCCCCCACCAGATCTGAGGGGCCCACTTTGTCCTTTGTTCTAAACGCTGTTTTGATATACCAGTATCTCAGTGGAGACCGATTAAGGTTGAGCTCCACCTAGACCAAGTAGTTACACTCCTTCACAACTGAACAATGGACTATGCCTTGAATTGTCAGTTTGGCGTCAAGAAGTTTCACCACAAGTCTCACTGATACGAGGCTGCCGAAGGCCGACCCCTCGGGTGGAGCATATTAGTCACACTCCTGGCCTGTTCATGAGCTTGCTAGAGATCACCCCAATCTCATAGACTGTGACCAGCAGTCGGGCTCATATATATGTGTTTCTCCAAGGATCGCTCTGTAGGATAGCATGTTGCTTATACATATAAGGCTTGGAACACATTAAGACAGTAGTCATCCTTCCATACAGTTTCTGAGAGTATTGCATCTCCAACGGAGTGGGTTAGTAAAGTTACTCTCCTCAGTTCACCACTGGCTTGTTTTCCCAGGTGCTACTTCACGGGACCTCCGATCACATAGGTTGGGTTATTACCATGGCAACTCATGTGGGTCTTCTTTCAAAACACGTGATAGTCCTTTTGTAAAGGGATCTGCCAGATTCTTAGCGCACATCCAAGTCGGTAGCTCATGATCCGACGTCTCAGATCGTGGCTCTACCCGTCAAAGACTCTCCATTCCTGACCGGCAAAAAGAAGCGCATAGGAGTGAGCTCGGCTCGGCTCAATACCGCAACCCGCGGCGAGCGGAGGAGGAGGAGTGCGCGAGGGCTTCTTTTCTTCTCAAGCTCCAATAGCATGAGGGAGAGAATCCCTTATAAACCACTCCAACTCTCCTTCCACTAGCATGGTGGGACTAAACTTTCCACCATCTTGGCATGCCACCTACATGGGCCCATAGAGATTAAATCTGAAATTTTCATATGGGCTCTAGGAGCATCTCATATTTCAACAATATGGTATTGCATTTAACTTAGTTTGTTCTGCAATGAAGTTTGACTAAATAATCTTGACGAGGGTGCTTCTCTTGAAGCTGAATGGAATGCAAGGTTTGCAGAATATGAAAAGAAATACCACCAGGAGGCTGTCGAGCTAAATAGCATAATATCAAGGAAGCTTCCGGCTGGGTGGGAAGATGCTTTTTTGGTGAGTTCTCCTCTGAAACTTAAATGTCCTGTCTATGTAATATTCATCAAGTGTCAGAATGATTTATAAGTCTGCCTTTGATCCCTTGTTTGTTCCGCAGAAATATACCCCTGAAAGTCCTGCTGATGCTACAAGGAACCTATCTCAACAATGCTTGAATGCTCTTGCTAAAGTAATACCTGGATTTCTTGGAGGCAGTGCTGATCTTACATCATCAAACATGACATTGCTAAAGATGTTTGGTGATTTCAGGAAGAACACCCCTGAAGAGCGAAACATCCGTTTTGGCGTTAGAGAGCATGCAATGGGCGCCGTTTGCAATGGCATTGTTGTGCACAGCCCTGGCCTGATACCTTACTGTTCGACATTCTTTGTGTTCACTTACTACATGAGAGCTCCTATACGGCATTATCTGAATTTTGTGATGACTCATGATTCCATTGGACTTGGAGAAGATGGGCCGACACATCAACCGGTTGAGCAGTTAAGGCCCTGTTTGTTTAATAAGTCATAGGACTTTTTTAAGTCCCAACTTATAAGTCATAAGTCCCTATCTGTTTGTTTACATCGACTTATAAGTCCCGAGTCCCTACCTGTTTGTTTACAGAGACTTATAAGTTGATAAAACACTTGTTCACATAACCCTTGTTCATACAAACGAATTACAGAATAGTGACAACCGAAATAACACTTGTTCATAACACTTGTTCATACAAACGATTAACACTTGTTGATAAGAACCAAAATTGACCGGAATGATTAGAGACCGGCTGAGAGCCGCCTCGGCCTCCGATGTTCAGAGACCGGCTGCGGCCTCCTTCGCCCTGGGGCACGGGCCTCTCACGACCAGGTCCAACCGGAGGAAGGCCATGACCGGCCGACTGGTCGAAGAGGAGTTGCTGGTACGAGCCCAACTCCGGGAAGACGTTGACGTTGCTGTTGAGATCCAAGAAACCCATTCCCCTCCCGAGATTTCCACCGGCGGATGAGCCTTTGGGTGCCTGTTGAGACGAGGGGAATTGAGAGAAGAAGGGGATCTCGTCCTCCTCATCGGCCATGGGGCGGCGGTTGAGGGTGCCGGCGGCGGCGGCGATTGGGGCGAGGCAGGGAAGGAGCGAGGCGAGGAGGAGGGGAACGAGCGGGGCGGGGTTCGTGCGGGGCGATGCGGGGTAGGTGCGTCCACATCGATAAGTCCCAATAAGTTCCTCCCTGAGAGTCTTTTTTGATAAGTCCCAAATGACCCCAATAAGTCCCTATAAGTCCCTCCTGTTTGGTTTATATGGGACTTATAAAGACTTTTTAAGTCCCTAAACCAATAAGTCCCTGGAAACAAACACCCTCTAAGTTATTCAGCCTCCGAGCAATGCCAGGCATATTAATGCTCCAACCAGCTGATGTAAACGAGACTTCTGCGGCTTAAAGCATCTCCAACAGGCGCGCTATCTTAGTTGCATGCTGGAAAAATTGTTTTTTTGCGCGCATGGAGCCGAAACGGATGTCTCAGCAGCCGCGCAATAATCGCTCACGTGGTATAATGGGTTCAGCGCGTGGAGGAGAACAACATCACGCGCCGCTTATTTCGTGCGCCCGACCCCGCGCGCTGGACAGCAAGGACTCGCGCGCGACCTCACCAACCGCCAGATCCAAGCGCTGGCGCCGCCGCCTGCACCTTTCCCATTTGCTCCAACGACCCGTCGGGGCTTCCCCGCCTATACCCGTGCGCCACCGCTACTTCCACCACCTCCTCTTGTCGCCGCCAAGCGGAGGGATGGATGGATAGATCCCTCTGCCTTATCTTCCAATTTGCGTATGGAAGATAAACTATTTTTTGGATTGTAATAAATTGAACTATTTATTGTTGATTTATTTTGTATGTGTTTGATCTTCTTGGTTCTATTTTGAGTGTGAAATGTTGTTTGTGCTGGGTGTGCGTGTTGTATATTTAGCGCGCCTGTTGGAGGTGCTTGCGCACGCCATCTTTTACAGCGGCCGCTGGAGCCAGCACCCAACTGCGCGCAAAAAACGGCCATTTCGATGCTGTAAAAAAAATTAGCAGGCCGCGCGGTTGCGTGCCTATTTGAGATGCTCTTATAGGATCGCGGTTATCAACAGGAAAAAGCCCTCCATCCTTGCACTCTCTCGACAGAAACTCTCTCAGGTGGAAGGAACTTCGGTTGAAGGCGTTGCAAAGGGAGGCTACGCCATTTCTGACAATTCATCGGGAAACAAACCTGACCTCATCCTAATCAGCACACGCTCCGAGCTCGAGATCGCAGCAAAAGCAGCCGATCAGCTGAGGAAGGAGGGGAAATCTGTACAGGTTGTCTCGCTTGTTTGCTGGGAATTATTTGAGGAGCAGTCTGAGGAGTACAAGGAGAGTGTCCTACCAAGCGAGGTTACTTCCAGGATTAGCGTCGAAGCCGGCGTCACACTAGGATGGGAGAAGTATATAGGACAGAAGGGCAAAGTAATCGGCATTAACCGTTTCGGTTCAAGTGCTCCTGCTGGAAGAATATACAGGGAGCTTGGTTTGACGGTGGAGAATCTCATTGCAACAGCCAAATCACTGTAAAGGGATCATTGCATTTCTCAGCAGCCTAATCTCCTGAAGGTATGCTCCTATATCCTAATAATCAATAAGGCCCTGCTTGGATCCTCGTTTTCCTCCACTTACACCTGTAAAAGTTACGGATCTCTGTCCGTCGTTTTGGTTTCCAGGCGAAAATAACTCTTGGCATGTAAATTACACCCGGAAATTTAATACACGTGTATTAAATTACATCTATACCAAGCGCAGCCTAAAGAGCAGTCTCAAGGTTTGTTTGTTGCAGCTCGGGGAGCTTATTGAGGTGTAAATAATAACAATGTCTGCCTAGTAACTAAGCCAGTTTGTTTTTCCAACTCTGCTAAGTAATAGATAGTTTTGGGAATGCCCACTGCAACTCATATAGAGTTACTGTTGCACGAGAAATAAAACATTGATATAGTCCTATGTCCCCGCGAAAAAAATAAGACACTCATATATATTTTGCTGTCGTCAAGTTGCAAGTTACTGTGGTACGGCGATTAAATTGCCAGGATCTGAACTCCATTGCTGTCGTCAAGAAAGTCTCCATGCCTTGTTTCTTATTTGTTTTACAAGGGTTGAAGAATCATCCTTTGTTCTCCACTATCTATTTTTCTCTACTACACCAAATACTCTAGTTTTGTACTTCGTTCAGCTGCCACTTGCTTTGTGTGTGCGGTGAAAGATCAGGGCCACCTCTAAAATCGTCTTAATGCAAGCTATTAAGTCTCATCATCTTTTTCCAGTGGGGATCTGTTGCCTATGTAATTCTTTTGTTGCAATTCATGTGTTTGAAATATTGCAACAGTTTTAGTACCATTTTTGTTTGCACTCCCAAAGGAGAAAATGTTGAAACGATGTGTCTGCGTACACATGACAAAATTTTTGGGTGTGGGATCTTAGGTTAGGATGCAATGTCAGGAAAGCGGTTGATCATCTTTTGGTGTCATATACATTCAGGCCATATTTTCTACCTAGTTGGTTGCCCACATTATACTGAAAAACAAAAAAAAGTGTAACAAAACCGGAGAAATACTCGAGCAAGTCAGATATATTTCTATCCCTTGTCTAGGTACAAGTTACTATAGTCCTGGGATTATGTCGCCGGGATCTGAACATCATTGCAATCTCCTCCCTGCATGGCGCCAGTGGAGCCGCTATGGTGACTGAGAATTCCTCCAGCGCTGCACCATTGGAGAAGAGGAAATTTGCAAGTATCCTGTCGAAGCCATCCCCAGTGTACATTGCGATGTTGATCCTTTTGAGGCTATGGCGGGAGCAGGGGATGCCCCATCGCCACATGCTCCTGAACATCTAGTCATCATCATAGATGTCGTCGTCATCGTCGCAGATCTCCGGCTCAGGGTCTGAATCTGAGTCGCCGACGTACTCATCATCAGAGTAGTATGTCTTCTTCAATGTCTCGGAGCCTCCCTTTGTACCGTGCTCTCTCCTTTGTCGATGTTGGCGACGGATGCACGGTCTCCTTCTAGTTCGACGGCTGGCTGCCATGCGGGGCTCTGGCTGCTACCTTTCCCGCCCTCTTCTCGCACGCCACTGCCGTCGAGGTTACGGTCTGGCGGGTAAGGGCCGACGGGCTGCGACACCACCTCGCCCCACGCCTCACGAGTGCTGGGGCGCAGGAGCTGGCCTGTGTCTCGGGGATGATGGCTTCCAGGCCACGCCGGGCGGGCGGGGACGAACGGACTCTTCTCCACATTGCCGCCCCAGGAGGGGGGCTGTCTGTGGCTCCGTGTATAGCTTGTTGGAGTTGTGTCGAATATTGTGTACAATGTAGATTACAGTTGGACTTGTAGTTGTACCGTGTTTACATAGGATGTGGAGTCGTGTCCTAGTAGGACACTTGTATCCTAGGCCTCTCTTATATAGCGGGGGTAGACACACAATGTAACCTATGCCAACATAATAGCACGGAAATGCAGGGGAAGCGACGGCATGTGCCGGCGTCCAAGGCGACCCGGTGCGGTATTGTAGCGGTGTCATGGGGAGGAGCGCCCATAGTTAGGCCCCGGGGATGTAGCCATATCGGTGAACCTCGTTAACAAATCTCGGTGTCATGCTTGTGTGATTGCTTGGTCCTTGGATGATCGACGGTATGCCTCGGATTTATTCTAACAAGTGGTATCATGAGCAAGGTTTGATGAGACTGTGCGTTGTTGATCTAGAGGATGAAGAAGCAGTCATGTGGTTGGATGTCTTGGCGGCGGCGAGTTGCAGCATTTGAGCAGCAGGTTGTTTGGTCGATTCGGTGATTAGGCGAGTTCTTTGTGAGATCGGTTTAATCGATTAGGCGTGGACTCGGTGAGATGCAATCGACGCCGGCGGCGTGTCGCGCGCAGACTGGCAGACAACACATCTGATCGAAGTGCTGGAAAGCCCAAGGCAGGTGCGTGGGTTGCGGCCCAGGTGAGGAAGCCGAGCGGCTGCAGCAGGTGAGCAAGTCACGGGCTGAACGGCAGCTGGTGTGCTCAGGCGTACGTGTGTGTATGCAAAGGCGATCAGGACCAGGGTAGTATACAAGGGCATCTACGGGATTTGTTTTGACAAAAAAAAGACCGAGTCCTCGTGTGACACAGAGAGGCAGGAGACAGATCGTTTCTGCGGAGGGGAAAATCGATTGACACGTGATTCACATCCATCGGGAATTAGCAAAGAGGCGTTCGCAAAGCAATTACTAGCATTGGAAGTTGAGTCTGGGAGCTAAGAGCATGGTTAATAATATAGCCAGCTACTGGCTATAAGTCAGTGCCATGTCATTTACAGCCCATCTTATAGCCAACGTGTATAATAGTAGATTAAAAGAGTGTACTACTTTTTTATTATGTGACCCACCTTTCATTCTCACAAATTGTCTAGGAGCATGTGCTAGAGCTGGCTCTTCATAAAGAGCCCGTTTACATTCTCTCTCCTCTTCTTTTTCCTCCAACTAAGCAGAAATATACTAGTTTATTTTCTTATAGCCCGCTGACTCAGCTCTATTGTATTTGCTCTAATACACGTGAGTACGAGAAGGTTTTTGGGTAGGAATTTGCTACTGGTGCATCTTGTGTACTTGAGCACGTGTTGGAAGCTTGGATATTTTTTCGCAAGGTCAGCCATACAAAAGACTATGGCGTCAATGGGTACCAAGTTTGAGGTGGAGAAGTTGACTGGACTGGAAACCTTGGGTTATGGTAGACGAAGATAAAAAATTTTGTTGGCGCAATAGAGATGCTTGAAGGCGTTGCAGGAAGTCATGTCAACTAAGATGGAATTATCAGGTGATGGATGGAAATTGGCGTAAGACGATTTGGGAGCCTCGGGCGTGTCGTACAGTCGAACGAGATCGGCTGGGTCGGACTAGGCAGTCTGACGGATCGACGCAAGTCGGTTGGTACAGAAGATGGTGGTGGGATCGGCGACGATGACATAGGTGCGTGATGTTGATGGTGATCGACTTCTGGGCATGGAAACACGTGACACAGGCATGAGTGCTTGTGTGGCTTCAACAAGACTATGGCGCGAGATTGATTCAAGGTGGTGTATCCACGGAGCTTGAAGTCGATGAGGCGCGGGGGTGGACTGATCATCTACCATAAAGTCATGTTGAAGGTGGAGCTGAGGTCTGACGGAAGACTTCACTCGATGCTGATTGAGGGGCTAAGGCGTAAGTCGACAGAGAGTCGAAGCCCATTTAGCGGGAAAAGCCAGTGACACGCAGTTCGGACTGGAGCCCAGTGGTCAGATGGAAGCGTGAAACTCGTCATCGATCGGTGATGATCGGTGGTACTCTGCAGGGTTGAGTGGTGTGGGTTTGCAACCCTTGAGACTCGACCGTGACAGTGGAGGCTCGACGCGATAATAGCGGCGAGGCATGCGGCATGCACGAGACATGGAGACGGGCCAAGGCTCTGGTGGTCATACATATGGCGAGACAACTGCGAATTTGACTCGGGATGACTACAAGCAATGGTGAAATTCTTTCAAGTTTCAGACAGGCAGTCAAGAAAGGAGCGGTGATGTTGAGTTCAGGTAACTCTTATGTGTGACACCCAATATGTGAGTTGTTCACTTTCACGCAGGTCAGTGATCGGTGTGTGATGGCGTTGGACGGATACTCTGGAAGTTGGGAGCACAAACTAGAGTAACAAGGAACTTAATTTTCCTCGAGTGTTGATTGTGGTCAAGAAAAGAAGAAACTACAAGTTGCAGGTGGAGTCACATGGAGTCTTTGAAGTAGCAGCGGTGCTCATGGGATAAGCCCAAGTCCAATGTGCATGGAAGTTTGACGCATTGACGAATTCAAGGTGGTGGAGAATATTCGGCAAGGTGGAGTTTGTTGGAGTTGTGTCGAATATAGTGTACAAGGTAGGTTACAGTTGGACTTGTAGTTGTACCGTGTTTACATAGGATGTGGAGTCGTGTCCTAGTAGGACACTTGTATCCTAGGCCTCTCTTATATAGCGGGGGTAGACACACAATGTAACCTATGCCAACATAATAGCACGGGAACGCAGGGGAAGCCGGCGGCATGTGCCGGCGTCCAGGGCGACCCGGTGCGGTATTGTAGCGGTGTCATGGGGAGGAGCGCCCATAGTCAGGCCCCGGGGATGTAGTCATATCATTGACCTGCGTGAAAGTGAATAACTCACATATTGGATGCCAACATAATAGCACCGGAACGCAGGGGAAGCCGGCGGCATGTGCCGGTGTCCAGGGCGACCGGGTGCGGTATTGTAGCGGTGTCATGGGGAGGAGCGCCCATAGTCAGGCCCCGGGGATGTAGCCATATCGGTGAACCTCGTTAACAAATCTCGGTGTCGTGCTTGTGTGATTGTTTGGTCATCGGATGATCGACGGAGTGCCTCAGATTTATTTTAACATAGCTTGCTACGGTTCGGCGGCGCCGTCGCCCCGTTCGCGGAGTTCATATGGAATGGCCGTGCGCCATCGAGGGTCAGGTTCTTCTGCTGGCTGCTGGCGTAGAGGCGCATCCACATGAGGGA